GAATTTGCTTAGCTAACTATTTATTATTTTACCAGTAAAAGCCCAGATTATTTTCTTTGAAGCTGCCAGGAGATTTTGAGGTGAAATGCGTAAAACCTGACTGAAACATGAAACATGCAGCATTGTTGGGCTCCCTCCAAACGGCGAAGACTATCGATTTCTTCTTCCTTCTGACCGTTGTAATACGTCATAACTGCATTTTCCCTTCTTTCTGAGTAACAATTTGCCTAAAGAAAGCCGGAGTTGTGTAGCAAAATAGAGTGAACTCTTGTTCTGCGTTCATCAAACCAGTGAGTGTCCCAGGCATCATTGCTCCCTGTTAGTCCCGCACAGTGGAACAGTGCTTTCTTCAGCCATGTGAAATTTTGCCTACGAAAATATGACCAGGAGCTAGCCATAGTTTCTCGTGTCCCTAAAGCCAAGTTGGTTTTTATCGGCAGCTTGTTTGATCATAACGGTTTCTTTGGTTTCTTGAACCTATGTGGCCTATGCTGGTGCGTCTGGCAAAGGCCCGCTAGATTTTGACGTTAAAATTCTCGGCTATGATAATTATGCCGTTCTACTACATTTTCTAGCAAGCCCAGTTTCTCAAAATCGCAGTCTTGAGGTCCTGCTTGCCACTTAGAAAGCAGCGTCTGAACCGGGCGTGCATCAAACTTTGTACTGGTTGTATCCGCTGCCGCCGATGGTCTCACTCACACGGGACCATTCGCCTAGAGTACATTAAACAGTTTCGCCGATCTTCCACACTTTATATGCATTAGGTTGCCTGTCAATTTCAAGGCACGAATGGCACCGATAGGGCTGAGCTCCAGTGAATAAAGTTGGAAGGGTTTTGCGCCTTTCTTGTGTTCTACACCTCTATACTGTCACGCTAGAAATGGAAAAACTTGACGAATGATCAGAGTCTCTGCTGTGCGATGGGTCCAGTCGGCAAAGTATTCCTCTTGTCTATGATGTCCGATTCTTAGGGGCAAAATATCAAATCAGCCAAACACCGTCGATTGCAGTTTAACTGGCAGTTTCCCAACAACGCACACATCCAGAACAGTGCAAAACTCAACGACGCACGCTTTGCCAAAAATTCGGAATGACCTTGCGTTATTTACAACGCATTTTCCAACTGGATGAACGAATCATGTTTGGATCCATTTCGCTCGCACAACGTAACAAAATAGATTAATTGGTTAACGGAAATTCGCCATCATACTAGTGATCTTACATCGAGTCTCATTTAAATGTAACTGGTATTGACACAACTCTTTGCCTTGGCACCTTACCAAAATACTTATTGGTTTTCACACCAGAGAACAGGAAACCTAACGAAAGACAACCTGAAAAAACGGCCAGCGACGGTTCTCCATTTTCATGAGTGCGTGAGATGTCATATATTGCGGAAGTTTATAGTACATGCCTCTACACACATTCCACCTTGATAGGTCGCATGCACGCCACCGATCTCCAACCGCTCGCGTTAGGTCGGCTCCCGCGTCTGGTCTATCCGACAGCTCTTTGGGCCACTTCTGAAAACGGGTACTGTTAACTCTTTTTATTCCTCGACCGTCCTAAATTTCGGACGTTCCCCCCGATAGTCGGTGACGACAGACGGGCTTAGACACCGGCGGTCCTGGCCCACTCCTTCCAGGTTCTGGTGATCCTTCCATTTGACCTCTCCACCTATGTAGAATGGTCGTGCCCTTCCACTTGCCGTTTTTTGTCTGATGCTCTTCTGAACGGTGGTCATGCCTTCTTGAGCTTGCCTTTTTAATTTCCTAGCTTCTCCCGATTCAAGCGTGTTGCTGTTTGCAACCCAATTTCCTGACCTGTGGGAAGGTGTGGATGTTGACCCTACATCAGCGTAAACGGGGACTTGTCTGTCGTTTGCAGTATAGACACACGATGTACTGACAACACCATCGATAAGTTCTTCCGGTCCGACGCGACAGTTGTTGCCTCATTATTACAATATATTGGTTTCCTCCGGTTTTCACCAGAAAGGGGTCTCTGACGTCAACGAGCCATAACTCTCCCTCCGCTGATACGGGGAGGGTTTTCACAGGTGGATTGCCCTTATCGTATCCATTTTCATCAGTTGACTTTGTCTACAGGACACCACATAAACTCTTAGCACACCTCATTTCGAGTCCTATGCCTTGGTGCACCCCGTGGGGTATTTGGGGGGGCTTTCTACGATCAGCTTCCGTCTCAAAACGTGTGGTATCACGAGGAGCACAGCAACAGCATCAGTGGCGTTCCGAGAAGCTTTGTCAGCTTCACTCAGCTCATCCTATCAACGATACTACGAAACGTCTTCAATTCTCTGTCTTCCTCCTCATTCTGAAACACCCTTTCAATCCAACAAGGCGGCTGCAACATTCCGTAGTCCTGGACCATTCCGCACCAACCTTCAAGGACCCAGCACCATGACAGGCCTGTTGGCGCCATCCATAATTTTCCGGGCCCCAGCTCTAGCCTCTGATCTTGACCTCCAATCAGCCAGATGATTCTCCTTCCCTGGCACGTTCCGGATCATGCAGTCTTTCATTTGCAACCGGGGTGCAACAGCAAGCTTTTCGCAAGGATGTTTGGTGTTTCTAATCCACTTGGGGGACTCGTGATCGGTCGCTCTCATGAAATCTTTGTAACAGAAATTATGGCATGTGCTTCTCCAGGGCCGAGAGGTTCGCGAAGCATTCCTCCTCAGTAGTTGAGTACTTCTGGTCAGCGGTAGTCAAAACACTACTGGTGAATTTAATGACCCCATTTCCCTGCCTTGGACTGCACCAATACCAAATTCACTAGAGTCCGTTGCAACATTGGACATCTCCCCGATCCTGGGCGGGTTTGAGTGTCAGTTGCTGATCTAGCGTCCGCGCTTCGACAAGTTCGAAGTTCTCATGCGCCTCTGTTGCCCATTCAGCCTTCCGTTTTCAGTACAGCAGGTGGTGCAGTGGGGCAGCAACTTTGTTGAAACCCTTGAGAAACTGACTGCAGTATGCCTCTCGTCCGAGAAACTGCCGTAAAGACGGTTTCAAATTAAGGAACGCACGGTCTTGGATCTTCGCCCTTTTTTTGAAAGCTGTCTGGCCTCTCCGTGATCGATCTTACATTAGAGTGGTGTCACGGAACTCCTGGTAACTTCTATCTTGGCTTCATTCGTCCGAAGGCAATCCCCTTGAATACGCCTCAGTATGGCATTCAAGTGAACTGCTTGCTTTGAATTAAAGCACCTATTCACGAAGATATCGTCTCCACATACATCAACATTCTGTAATCCTGAATGCGAATGATGCACCGACACAAGGGCACATCCGTCTTAACGGATATTGAGTGTCATCTGATTTGAAAGCTAGTTGCACGTATCGTAGTGTAAACCAAACGCCGTGAAATACAAGGTTTGTTGGAGCGCTGATTCACGGATTGATACAGAGGATCAAGACGTGTCTCCGCTATTTTGTCCTCATGGCTGTGAGCTATTCGGCCATTGGGTCCATCTTTGCAGGTCCTCTACTGGTGAATCCTCCCTTTTCTCCTGCGGCTTCGAGGGTGGTGAGTGTTGTGCAACTCACACTCACGCATAGGTCACCCAGTGCGCCCTCGGATCGCATACTCTCGGCTTTTCAAAGCACCCTTTGGCGAACTGAGGACGGTTGCCTACCAAGATTCCGCTGCGCATCAGTTGCCCATTTCGGATGATCGGCTTTCATTGGGCTGTGATATATATAAAAGTTTGGATCGGTTTGCTGTAGCCTTTGTGATTATTATCTTGAGAAGTGTTGCTTAATCTACCGCAGTGATGAAGTGGGTCCAAGGCTGGAATATCTATCGGTTGTGGTTAGAATCACTTGCAAGACAATGATAAAATATCCATTAGACTGAGTGCTTCTTAATCATTTGGTGAACGCGAGACTAGCATAGCACTAGGTTGCAGTCAACATCGTTCACGAACTTCTTTCTTGATCCCATTTTATTTGTACCACATCTGGCGCCCAAATGCGATATCGCTCAACCAGTATCTTCTTGAGTGGGTCAATTGTTTCGCGTGAAAATGCCAGCGTTCAACGAAATTTAGCGTGAGTGATTGACTGATCCACCAAACATTCATCACAAGAAAAATGTACAGGCTATTTTAGTGTATCTATAGTGAGGCGTTCGGTGAATACTTACGCAAGACGATTAGCGCCATGTGACATGGGCTTCTGAGAAAATTCAAAATAAAAATTTGTTGCCCGCCGCTCAAAGTAACGGTCGACGTGAGGTTCTACCAGGGGCACAAAGCAACGTTTTTCGGAGCTTTCTGAGATTTGATGACCCGTCATCAACATTCAGGAGTATGAATAAACATCTACCCACTTCACACTGAAGGTCCCGCCCAGCATTTGTATTTCCTGAGCAGTCACAAACCTCAAAAACCATCCGCCACATGGTGTTAACCCCGCTTACGGTGAGCCATACTTCATTAGAGCGCTCAACTTTTTTTGTCCCATTACCACTCAATATCCAGTTGACCGGGAACCAGTCGAATGAATGAGTAATTGCGCTCTTCGCTTCACCATCAACGATGATATAAAATCAAAAAGAATGGGCTTGTAAACTAATTTCAGCATGAAATCTTCCTTAGTAATCGTGGGATGACCAGGCTGTTTTATGGCATCCCAAATTTGGAACTCGGCAACCAGTTGTCTCCTCAGGACGCGAGGGGGACGCAACGCTTATCGAGCGTATCCAGCGAGCTGCTACGAAAATGGTTGTCGGCCTTAAATACCTGTACTATAAAATGTGTCTCACGGTGATCTGTCCCCCGAGAGTATCGTCGACTCTGGGGAGACCTAATAATTATCTAATCCCCGTTTGAACAAGTTCTGGTGAGTTAAAAGTACCATAAGACGTGAGTTTTCTCGCTGGTGAGCTTACTGCCGCGATGAGGGTATAGATCACTGCTACACCCTTTTCACTTGTGACCTTCAGATGAGCGGTAGCAACTAAATGCCAGGGACCGATCCGACCGGGATAAATTGGGCGAAGTCCTCGATCCCGTGAATCAGTCCGTGAATCCGTGATATCCATTAGCGACAAAAGGTCGCATCAAGCGCCAAGATTGCCGCACAATTTTTAAAGCTAGTCATGGGCCAAATGGAGGCTAGCATTGCAGCTAAATATCACATACCCCGTAACCAAGTATGGTGTCCTGAATGATGCTGCAGCTTATAAACTGCGCTCGGTATTCGTACAATGGAATTGAATTTTTGAAAGCTGTGACGTGGACTAAAGCAATCGGGCAGTTGTGTTGAGTGTACTAGTCCAGACTTTTAATTTTCGTTTAGACATCCTGGGGTCTCAGCAATGCTAGGAAACTATCCCACAGAAATCGTCAGCCAGAGGCTTTGGTGCTCCAGTGAATAATTAATTTTGCTGTGCTGCAAAAATAGGAACGTAGGTAAGAACGGTTCTGGTGTGAGCACATGCATAGCATAATGCAACATTTGGACGTAGAAAGTTTTACTGCCCTTTCCAATGTTTAGCAGCTGATAGCATTGTGCGGATAATGGGCACTCATAAGGCGGGTAAATTGACCTCACCGGGACTGAATTTGTTTAAGTTTAGTCGGAGCGTTGGGCGCTCGTTTTAGGTTTACACGCTTGCTGTTGTTCAGGGTAATTGCTACATTTCGTTTCATGTTTCGTGTACTAGAATGGCCATCCGACCTCTACACACCCCTAAAATAGTTAAGAAGCACAGGAAGAGCTGGCGCCGGCATCAAAGCGATCTGTTTAAACGGCTGGGTGATAAATGGCGTAAACCTAAAGGTATCGACAATCGCGTCCGGCGGCGCTTCAAAGGCCAGGTTCGTATGCCGAAAGTTGGTTACGGGAGTGCAAAACGTACGAAACATATCCACCCTGATGGCTTCAAGCATGTTCTGATCCACAACGTCAAGGTCTGTTTTGAATATTTTCTAAATGTTTTGCTCAGGAATTGGAGGTGTTAATGATGCAGCACCGTACCCATGCTGCAGTGATTGCCCATACGGTAGCTCGGAAAAACCGGGCGAAAATTGTGGAACGAGCGAAGCAATTGAGTATTCGGTGTGTTAATGCCGATGCTGGTCTACGCTCTGCAGAAAATGAGTGAACTCAATAAACCTTTTTTTTGGCTTGTAAGCCTTCTGGCCTAATCGTGCTTATTGCATTCTACTTGTTCTAACGGCTCTGTAGGCGATCAACAGTTTGTTGTAAGGCGTGAAATTTATCAAAAATGTGAGGGAATGACTCAGTCCTGGTCGAAAGGGAAAAATCACTCCCTTCTTGAATCGGGTTGTCAAAGCCTATCGAATCCACACTAGTAGCGTATGACATCTCGGTCACGCACTTTTGGTTGAAAGAAGGTCAAGGGCGAGTGGTAGTTATCGAAGCCGTGTCAAGTGTGAAAATGCCATTCAGTTCTTTCACATGGTTAGGCAGGGACATCGACAGATTGTTTAACACCTTAACACAGTAGATGCCAAGCATATGACTTTGTCTAGAATACTCCAAAAGGCAGGCTGGGAAATCGGTCATACGTTTGAAGTTCTTGCCCAGTTGGGGTTCAAAGTGTTCAATGAAGCCAGCACACGTTATTGCATCATCACTGAGCTTTATATTTCCCTAAAGAAGCTCGTTGATTCCGGTGCGGGCTTATCTTCGGATGAACATGGACAGCAATACACCAACAACTGGTTCTGGAGGAGGAGTTGGGAAATTATTGCAAAACCATTGAATTGAACATTGAAGCGTCAGTTTGGAGTGCGACGCCTTTGGCGGGAAGAACTCAACTCTGCGAAGTGCATCCAATACAATTTCAGTGCACAACGAGAACAATCCGGGCGGTTGGATTAAGGGGTAACATCACTCGTCACAAAAATCAGTTGTGTTGTAGGGTTTCCAATCAGTGCAAGGAGTACCATGTTGACCCCTCCGGAAGGCGTGGGGGTCCAACAGCACTCAACTTGACAGTGGAGCTCCGATTCCCGTGGTTCTGGATGAGAATGATGGTGTTACAAATTCCGAGTTCTCCTTACTGGCAGAATGCAAGGTGCCCTCATGGTCGGTTTTGATGAGAAAGAAGAGGACACGTTTTCAGTTCTAGGGCCATGGAAAGCGAACCAAATTATCTTTTTTGACAGCTCGGTGGGGCTCGTACGCCTGTGCTTTTGCCTAGCCCTATCGGAGACGTTCGACGGAGCCTATCCAGCCGATGGAAGAACTGCGGTGTTCAATGGCTTCGACTGACTAAAGACAGCACAGGCCGTTGAGGGTAGACTTATTCAGTGGAGCAACATTTGGTTTGTCTTCAATGAATGGTTGTCGGTAGAGTAGGTCAGGACGACCGTTTTCATGATACCACCCTTTATGTGCCTCCATGACTCATTGAGAGGTCCAAGACAATGCTCAGGACTTCACGCTAGGTTGTTCACCGAATGGAGACCAGCGAATACGACTTCTGGTCGTCTAGACGAGACGGAAACTCATGGCGGCTTCAGAGTACCATTATTATGGTAGCTGCCGACATGCACTCGTTCTCTTGCCGTCAGGCGCTTGAGACCGGCTTTGGCTTAAGATCTTGACCGTCTCCGCCACACTCACGCACTCTTTCTAGTCCTACCCTTTCTACGTTTTCTGCAAACAGCAGAACCAGGATTGACATATCCATTCACCTAAGCTTAATCTCACTGACCGCTTATGTGCGTCCGTCTGCAGTTACATCAAACACTGCGAAATCCATTCTCAAACCGGCAACCTGATCCACTTACCTCCATTAAATCTTCCTCCAAAGTAAGTAGGAGGCAGGGTACACTTTCTCGTGCGCTATTGTTGACGCATGCTGGCTAATACTTCAGCCGATCTAACTGCCGCATCCTTCCGTCTCCTTACCTCTGGTAAATCCGCTTGATTTACCTGGTCCTATATATTAGGCTTTCGGGCGAATACCCTCTCAGAGCCGCCTATGGGCGGTTCGTCTGGCAACATCTGGAATAATTCCCGGGAAAAGGCTCATCACCTCTTGTCTGTTGTTCCGGCTTAGGCTCAGACGAACTGTGGTTTTCAATCTCATAGGAAGTTCTGTAATGGTCAAGAGGTTTTCACTCCGACTAAAATCTCGTTAGGGACGGTAATGCACCAGTAGTATATTGTACCGTTAAATTGACATGGGTCGCGCTAGTAGGTAAGCTTAATGTTCCTGGAGCTCATTTGTGTGGTCGTCTTGGGTCGGTCAATAGACGCACGGGGACTTATTGCAAATTTGTACTGCTCAGTTTGGTCAGTGCATCAACCTCTGTGATAGCGGAACTAGTTTGATCATGTAGTGTCCGCCAACTAAATGTTCCCTGACGGGAATAGGATACATTGCGTTAACTACTGATGGTTATTGTCTGTTCTCTTGAAATGTATCCGTTGATCCTGATCGTACACTTGTTCGCTTGCACTTCACTGTGCTTCAGGTTTGGTTTAGATGTGGATATTTTCACTGGTCGTTGATATTCTCACGGACCCAAAAGTCAAACGCGTGTTCGGGTGTTTTTATCCAGCTCTCCAGTTTTAGGATGTTAGTTGTCGCTCAAGTTAGGTCTGGGCAAAGTGACTGGTTAGAGCGCGGATTTACTGACCGGAAGGTTCGTGATTCGGACCCGACTTCTGCCTCTCGACTTTTCCTGTCTAGGCTTCGGGAACCTGGCAGTATCCCAGCCTTCGTCCTTTCTTCTGGCGGCATGGCAGCTAGGTACCGAAAGGGTGCTACAGCTGAACGATTTTTCAGTTGGGTCTCCAGCACCTGTGGGCGATGCTCAAGTCTGTCTACGGTAAAACTCATCCAACTCCGTGTCCAGCACCTGATATTTCACTCAGTGTCGTTCGTGAATCCGCTCTCATCGCCTGGGTCCCGGTTTTTCTACGACTCTCTTGTAAGGCTCGGATCTACGTCCAAACTAAGCAGAAACTCTGCATGCATGTCTATTCGCCATCTACACCCACGCATAAGTTGGTGTCCATGCAGATGTTGTGAGAGAAAAATTTACAACACGAGGGTGCGCCAGTTAGATATCAGTGCTCAAGTTAGGCGCGGCCTAAGGCAGCCTTGGAATGCGCAACTCCGTCGGAGTCCGACGTACTGACAGCAGCAAAAGCATCAATTTACTCTGACATTTTACTCTTGGTGCCAATTATTCAATTTCGGATCAAACACCGGCTTGGCAACAAAGTGGAAACCATTATCAGCGAACTCAGCTACGCTGGCGATTACCGCCTCCCTGGATGGGGACCCCGAGAGGGGACATATCAAAACTTGGTGACATTGACTGACATAGCCCTCTAGTGCACCGATTCCCCTCACGATCTCCCCAGTGTAGAGTCCCATGTATTTACGCATCAATTGTATCAACTACCGCCTCCAATGCTTAGCTATGTACCCCACCTCCCCAAGTCATCGGTAACCGGGTACGGGCAGCTACAACCGTTACGACAAGTACGCGGTTTTACAGTTGAAGATGATGACCTGGTGTCCCAGGTGCGCAATAAACTGGTGTTGATTTCAGCAATACTCGAAGACCTCTCGCTCAGGGTAAGGGGTCCGGATGTTAGTAAGGCTGCCATGGAGGAGACTGTTTGTCTATTTACTAATAGACAAGTCAAGCATTGGGTCGATTGCTTCGAAAGCCAATAAAACTGGTCTCGTGTATGCTTGCCCATTCATTCACCAATCAGTATTCCGTAACGGAGGGGTTCAACATTCAAGGCTGTGCAATCTCCTGGCTCTCCCAATTCTAGGCTGGTGGACCAGCTTCTCACATGCCTTGATATCAAGCGGGGTCAGATAGTGATGACCATTCTCCCTAATCCCCATCAACTATGCCGTCGATGGTGATCTCAGAGACAACAAACACGACCGGACGTTGGCGTGGAATCTTCCCTAGAATAGCCACCCACACGTGGAATACGCGGACTGCAGTCATCATCATGAACAGTCTAACATCATTATTGAACACTAGTGCTTCGCTGCCGAACGACACAGTCATCGCTGGAGCGCAGGCCATCCTAGATACTGTCGTTTCTGATCGTCTCGAAATAGTCTGGCCCCACACAAGTGTGAAGGTATGTTTAATGGACCTTTTCCTACACAAACCCCCAAAGTGGATACTAAGTCATTCGATGCCGTGGGACAGGATTTCTCGTCAGATCACCAAGGCCAACTCAGCTGTCACCAATCGCCGTCATCTGTGGGAACAGAGACATCGGTTTTTCGCTGAGAAGCTGTGTACAACAGCTTACGCGTCGTGAGAGGTAGGGAGGATCCTCGACCAGTGAACTCCTGCAAATGCACTCAGAACATAGGCTGTTCGATCCGAAGATGTTGGGTGACTAACCGCTTTCGGCTACCGATGCCCACGAAGCGTTGCAACGGTCGACGGTTGTGAAGTTTACCCTATACCTCTGACGAATGTTACACTGGGAAATGAACTCAGTTACGCTGGTTTGGTCATGTCATGAAGGCGCCTCGCGGTTGCCTGCTTCATCGAATTGTCTTGGCACACGCGCATCTGGCTGTTAACTAGTGGGTCATTGGCAGCTGCAAATGTGATGGTCGTCAGTGCTCAGTCTCAGGAATATAGTTGGAGACAATATCACAAATGCGCAAAACCTATCAGCATTATTGACAACAATACATCGGTAATGCCTGCTGGTTCGTAGCTGTCATGCAAACAGGAGGTAAGAAGTGAAGATGAACAACGCATCTGCCTGGGCGGAGTCCTGCTTGGTGCTCTTGGACTTGGGTCTCACGTGCCGAAGGTGGGCCTCGCTGTATAGGGGAAACCAGTAGACATGTTACGACAAGTGTGCAACTTGTACATCTATGACCGGAACACTGGGTCCAGATACCTTTTTTGAACACGGGTACGATCAACGATTGGCCCCAATTTCCTGGAACGTTCTTTTTCCTTAATAAGTACTAACAACCTAGTCAGAACGGAACACAGATTCCTCATCTCTAAGCAGCTCTAGGGCAAGCTCATCTGGCCCAGCAGCCCGATGGGAGTTCAAGGCAAAGTGGCACGTTAATATGTCAACTAAGGGGATCTAAACTCAAACAGCGGTTCAAACTGCGCGGGTCGAATGAAAGACGTAGACACGGGAGGAGACCCAACGAACTGCTGTTGACTGTTCCCATCTGTACGCTGGTCTTTGCTGTATATTGAATCTTTACTCTCTTCGATTAGATCACCGAAACTCCTTTTATGTCCTGCGTTGCGTATTAGCTGAACGGTATCTGTACATTACCAATGGCACTGACCTCCATACATTGTACTTCTACCATCTCCGTCCAAACTGGCTACGTTTGAGGCGCATTCTAATCGAATTGTCCCCCGAGCTTGAAGGGATGGAGCACCTTGCATCAAGAAGTGACAGTTGGCGTTCCGCGTACGCACTCAGAAGCACCACAAGCACAGTTCTTGGCGTCACCTATAGCAGTGGTTATCTCATCACAGTTCCCTCACTTTCCTACAGGTAGGCTGCTTGCAGTGCATTGCATGGTAGGCTATGGTATGTCTCCCTAACTTGTGTCTCACGTAGCTTCTGTACTGCAAAATGTGGATGTTGTTTACGAAGTTTTCCGGAGACGTTTGATGAAACTCTGTACCGAATGGGCGCATGGTGGCGAGGTGACTGGTTAGAGCGCGAATTTACTGACCGGAAGGTGCCTGGTTCGAACCCGACCTCTGCCTCTTGAC